CCGTCCCCTCCCCAGTGAGAAACAACTCCAGGCTTTTCTGCTTTTAGAGGGCGCCATCTGGACTCTGCTGGACTCCAGGGTAAGGCTGTGGGGTGCTGAGGTGGGCCACAGCAGTTGCCGTGGGGACATGGATCACCAGTGTGGCAGGCTAGAGCCAGTGGGAATCTGCTTCTTAGTCCGTTCTTAGTGGAGCTCCTGTGTTCTACCTTCCCCCAACTCCTTGACTGGGGACAGGTGCTCGGTTGACCTGTAGTTGGGAGAGAGTTGACTCCCACTGGCAGCAAGGGCCACCAGAGGGGACCCCAGGGAGGGTCCACCTTGCTTGGTTTACTCCTTGAAGAGCAGCTTGGAGGTGGGACAGTCACAGGCTTCTGACTGGGGGGTGTGTGTAGTGGTGTTGGGTCTCTTGGCAGGCCCATTGTCACCAATAGCCTTTAAGTCTTTAGTCTCCTGGCCCTGGTCCCACCTGCCCCTCCCCTAGGTGGGAGGGGTTGAGAGCAAGTTTCCTGAGGCCTTCCCCTGTGAGGGCAGGAAGTAGATACTTTCCTTGGGGCCAGAGGATGCTTTCACCCCCAAGGTGTGTATATGTGGGGGAAGGGTGGGGCCCTAAAGAGCAGGTTCCTGTTTCTGCATGTGTCCTGTGTGCTTGGTGGGAGGTGCTGTGTGAGAATGTACAGGACAGGAGGGAACACAGCAGGGCTGGGGTGCAGAGGAGGCCCAGAGCAGTGTGCTCAGTCAGCAGGTACTGCATTGGGCACTGGGGAGACTGACGTGGCCCCAGGGGCTTCGCTGTGGCTGCCTTCCAGGCCAGTACTAGGTAAACAGGTGCCTGTGCTGATGCCATGTTGCTAGGAGTGGAGTGGACAATCAGCTGGAGTACTCAAGGTGACCCTTGGCCTCTGAATCCTGAAGAACAAGGAGGGTCAGAAGGGAGAGTGTCCCAGGCCAGGGCAGAGGCCTTGTGGTGGTGATGAGCTCAGCCTGTTGAGGCATGGAGCGGAGTGATGGGAGTGGCACATGAGGTTGGGGGCCTTTGAGGCTGTGGCTGGGAATTTGTATTTTCTTGGGATGCAGCGAAGACCTGGAGAAGAGGGGCTCTGGCTGCTGTGTGGGGAAGGATTGTGGTGGAAGAGGGTGCAGCACTGGACCCCTTCCCTGTCACTCATCCACGTGCATCATCAGTGTAATCTCTGATTGGATTCCTAACTGGGGAGGCCTTGCCCATCTCTAGTCGGTAAGTCACTGATTCCAAGCCTCCTGGGCCATGGCCAAATTCTTCTCCCAGTGAGGTGGTTGTCGGAGTGTCGACCCATCTACAGGGAGTGAGCAGTGCAAAGAAGGTGCCCCTTCCTGAATCTTGAGGTGTAGGGTTTTTCCCGGGGGCCTCTCACTCATTGTACTCTGGTGCTGCCAGAGAGAAGGTTGTCAGCTTCCCACTGCTAGGTGGCCGTAGAGGGTGGCAGCCCTCTCTTTCCAGGGCAAGGTCTGGTGGGCGAGGGTGCACATGGTTAATGCAGAGCAGCTTAACATCTACCACAGAGGGTGAGCCCTGGGATAATGTGTTGGGAGGCGTCCTGGGGAGAGTGAGGATTGAAGCAGCCCAGCCTGCTGTGGCGTGCGTGCTTGGCAAGCATCCTGTTGTGGCAGCAGCCACTGATGTTTGATCATGAATGTTTATCTTGGGGCTGTCTTGCTGGGCTGGGCCCATAGGTGTAGCTGAGCATTCGTGGGGAGCAGACGCCAGCAGAGTTGTACCAGGGCGGAGAGGTCCAGACAGATGGTCCAGGCTGGGGAGAAGCTGAAGGGTCTTTGTGCCAGTCCTCCCCTTTTTGTCTGCTACTGCAGTGACTTTGGGCAGAGGGTGAGACAGGGACCTTTTTAAATTTTTAAATGGCATTTCAGCCTGTGCTCCATGTGGCAGGCACTGTGCTGGCTGTCTTCCCAGACACTTGTTATCTTGTTCACTTGTTCCACAACAACCTGTGAAATAGCCGTCAGCTCCATTGGATCCATGGATGAGGAACCTGAGACCAGGAAGTCACCTGCCTGATGCCACAGCTCCTGTGGCAGCACTGAGACTTGAACCAGGGAATTGGGTCTGCAGAGGTGGCTGGGCCATTTCCTTTACCTCTCAGCCACCTTTCTGCCAGCTCCCTGATGACAAACATCCCGGGGCCCTGGCTGCAGCATGGTAGGGCTGGGTCAGGGGAGTGGCAACTGTCAGGCAGAGGAAAGAACCCTGTAGACAGAGAAACCAAGGCCTGTTAGGTCTCTGGGGGATGCGGGTCCAGAACCTCCCAAGTTATGTTCTCAGAGGGGTTAATTGCTACTGCTGTAAACAGAGCAGGTGTTTATTACCCCTGTTGTACACATCAGGCAGTTGAGGCCCATTCAGGTGATGGATCTGGCTAGGGTTATCCAGCAGATTATCCTTGGTGTTGGAATTAGGTCTCACTTTCTATTCAGACTGTAGGTTTTGGCTCCTGTTCGGATGTCTATGGGACAGATAATTTAGTGGAGATTCTTTGTAATCCAGGGTAGCAGTTCTCACATTGCTGCATGGTAGAATTACCTGGGAACCTTTACCAATTTCAGACCCTTCCTTAGACCAGGTACATCAGAGCCTCAGAGCTCCCCAGGCGGTTCCACTCCACAGCCAAGGGTAAGAATTCCTGGTCTAGGGCTGTGAGGCCACCTCCTTGCACACCTGAAAATGTTTAAATTGATATTATTCTGAAATAGCTGAGGTAGGGTTTGGGATATCTTGAAACAAATCAAACCGTCTGTTACTAATTGAGCCCTAGCTGGGTGCCAGGCCCCAGGTATGTGTGTGGGAGGGAGTGGGCTCTTGAGGCCCAGGAGCTGAGGTTTCTGATGGACTTGGAGATGGGATTTTGGCTGAAAATGGAGAAATTCTTTTGGGGCAGGCACTTGGAACCCTTGACCCAAGGAATACAGGGCAAGAAGGGGTGGGAAAATAGGTAATTCATGGCTGCTTCTCTAAGATGTGCCTGCCTAGCCCCAGTAAACCTACCTCCCTCCATTCCTGCCAGGCCATGGTGGCGTGCTACCCAGGCAACGGGCTCGGGTACGTAAGGCACGTTGACAATCCCCACGGCGATGGGCGCTGCATCACCTGTATCTATTACCTGAATCAGAACTGGGACGTTAAGGTAGGGGTGAGGGTGAGGGTGGGGCTGGGGTCAAGGCTAGGGCTGGGGTCAGGGCTAGGGCTGGGGCCGGGGCAGGTGGGGCTGGAGCCGGGGTAGATGGGGCGTGCATCCACTCCATTTTCCACTCTCAGCCCAGATTCTGGCATTCTCCTGTTCCTCTTCTCAGCACACAGCCAGGGGTGCAATCTGCTGGCTCTTCCTGGGAAATGGCACCACCTCCTCTCTATCTGGCTGTGTGATGGGAACTCCCCTCTTTCCGGGAATGGTGCTGTCTGCCCAGCCCCACCCGGCCTTGTAATGAACACTTTCCCCCTTTTCCTGTCTTTAGTAGCTTCCTGCCCATCTCCATGGTGATGCAGACTCTGGGTTGTCATTCATTTTTGAGAGCCCGAGGGGTGGGAGGGAGTGATGCGGGCGGACGCTGCGCCCCCTAGTGGGCTCCCGGGTGCCGTGGGAGGCAGCAGCTCCTGGCTGGAAAGGCCAACCTCATCCTCTGGCCTGCCCCCAGGTGCATGGTGGCCTGCTGCAGATCTTCCCTGAGGGCCGGCCGGTGGTAGCCAACATCGAACCACTCTTTGACCGGTTGCTCATTTTCTGGTCTGACCGGCGGAACCCCCACGAGGTGAAGCCAGCCTATGCCACCAGGTATGACCTGTACTTCTGGGGATGCACCCAGGTGCTCCCCCTGTGACAGTGTCCTGTCAGAGCCTCAGAGTGACTGGGGAGCGACCAAGTACTGAGAGGGGCCTAGGTGGGAGCAGAACCGGGTGGCTGAAAAGGATGGCCTCCTAGCATGTGTGGATATGGTAGCTGGAATTGCAGAAAACTGATGTCCAACCATCCTGGTCCCCAGGTACGCCATCACTGTCTGGTATTTTGATGCCAAGGAGCGGGCAGCAGCCAAAGACAAGTATCAGCTAGGTACCTGCTTCCCTCCCTCCAGTCCTTCCTATTCCGTGGGCCCTGTTGGGCCTCATGCCACCCCCATCCCCCTCATCAGCCTCTTGTTAAATCTCACCACTCATTTTTCTTCATCTCTGCCCACCTTCCTTAGACAGTCCACTCTTCTGGTACCCCAACAGGAGCCCCATTTCTTCCTGGTCCTCTCCCCATTTCCCCAGGTTTCCCTTGGCTTTTTTGTCCCTCTCCTGATGACTCACTGTCTCCTGTCCCCTCTCACCCCCAGCATCAGGACAGAAAGGTGTCCAAGTACCTGTATCACAGCCGCCTACGCCCACCTAGTGGCCAGTCCCAGAGCCGCATGGCAGACAGCTTCCCCTGACTTCAGGAGAGCCCTGGGCCTGTATTGGCTGCTCCTTCCCTGCCACCGCTGCTGCTTCTGACTTTGCCTCTGTCCTGCCTGGCGTGGAGGGCTCTGTCTGTTGCTGAGGACCAAGAAGGAGAAGAGACCTTTGCTGCCCCATGATGGGGGCTGGGGTTGTGACCTGGACAGGGGGCAGCCTTGGAGGCAACCGTTACGAACTGAAGCTGGGGCCTGGGTCCTACCCTGTCTGGTCATGACCCCATTAGGTGTGGAGAGCTGGGAGGAGGCATTGTCACTTCCCACCAGGATGCAGGACTTGGGGTTGAGGTGAGTCACGGCCTCTTGCTGGCAATGGGGTGGGAGGAGTACCCCCAAACCTTCTCACTCCTCCAGCCTGGAATGTGAAGTGACTCCCCAACCCCTTTGGCCATGGCAGGCACCTTTTGGGACTGGGCTGCCACTGCGTGGGCAGAGTAAAAGGTGCCAGGAGGAGCATGGGTGTGGAAGTCCTGTCAGCCAAGAAATAAAAGTTTACCTCAGAGCTGCACACATCTGACTCCATCTGCAGTTTAGGGCCTTTATTGACCAAGGAGGGTGCGGAGGTTTGAGGGCCAGTGAGCCCACTACAGCGGAGCCTGACCTCAGCAGGCCACTAGCTGGAGCTGGAAGGCTGGGGGGACACTGCCCAGGCCAGTGAACTGCAGGTGAGGTTGATGGTGCCAGGGTTTACCACAGGGAGCAGGCGGAACCTCGGTAGGGTGGCTGTAAGGAATAGGAAGATCTCCAAGTGGGCCAGGCCTGCGCCCAGGCACATCTGCTTTCCCAGGTACACGGGTGCATAGTGAGCACCATGCACCCCAGAGCCGGTCCAGGCTGGTCGCCTTCCTCCCCTGCCTGCACCTGAGGCAAAGGGCATGAAAGGGTCATTGCCCTGGGACTTGCCCTTGTCCAGGAAGTTGGTAGCGTTGAAGCAGTCTGGGTCTTTGAATTGAGTGCGGTCAGTGGGCAGTCACAAGCAGGGGAATCACAAAGGTGCCCTGGGGGTACATGCAACTTGGTTTACCTGTGGGCTTGGTGAGCATGTGCACCTCCTCCATCCAAGGCCCTTTTTAAAAGCCCAAGGGAATAGGCCGGGCAGGTAGCTCATGCCTGTAATCCCAGCACTCTGGGAGGCCGAGGAGCATGGATCACGAGGTCAAGAAGTTCGAGACCAGCCTGGCCAACACAGCGAAACCTGTCTCTGCTAAAAACACAAAAATTAGCCAGGTGTGGTGGCAGGTGCCTGTAATACCAGGTATTTAGGAGGCTGAAGCAGGAGAATTGCTTGAACCCAGGAGGCGGAGGTTGCAGTGAGTTGAGATCATGCCATTGCACTCCAGCCTGAGCGATAAGGCGAGACTGTCTCAAAAAAAATAAATAAAATCAAAAAACAAAAACCGAAGGGAAGGCAGGCCTGCTATCCTGCTCCAGGAGTAACTGATTGTGCTTCAGTTTGCACAGCGCACACCCACCGATTCTGGCTGATCTCGGAATACACCTCATGCACCCGGGCCCCGCACAGGATTCCCAAACTCAGTGGGCACCTTTGGGCAGACAGTGGCTGTGCAAGTGGGTGTTGAGGGTGAGCGCGGTAGCCCCAGCGGCACCACGCTGATGAAGCGCTGGATCTGGAGCAGCACTGCGTTGGTGTAGGGCAGTCGCTGGTGGTCGTCCGGGCTTGGGGCGCACCTCCACCCTACTACAGGGTCCAGCTCCTGCACCTTGGCTGGGGCCCGGGTAGGCTTTGAGCTGCGCACTTCCAGGACCCTCCAGCCATCCCCAGACCGCAGCCTCCCATTCTGGGTCTCCGGCTTGCAGACCTGCCACCTCTGGGTACTTAAGCAGAACGAGGAGTCCATAGCACAGGGTGGTGCTCGTTTCGGTGCCACCAAAAAAAAGGTGTGTCATCATTACTGACGTCTCCTCCTGGAAGTGGCTCTCTGGGTCCTGCTGTTACCGTGGGCAGAGGAGACGCGCTGCCGCGTGCCAGGCACCTGTTGGTGGGAGGCAAAGATAGAGTTTAGGGAACTGGGAACCACGCCTTACCCATCTGGTCAAGCAATTGATGAAATCGCGGGGCTCCGCCGGCTGCCGCATCTGCCAGTGTTGTTGGATTTGCTCAGAGATGAAGACCCACAGCTCCGAAAGTTTCGGAAGATTCGGCGGTGCCGGCCTGGGAGCCAGTCCATGAGGGACGGGGAAATGTACATCTGGAGAGAGAGGGTCTCAACAAGGGCCCTGGACGAGGCCACTAGGTCTTAGTTTCCCTTCAGGGAGATTGGACCAGGACATTGATATTGGAGGTTCTAGAACTCTTCCAAGAATCTAACTGTCCCATTCTAATGATCCACTGTAGGTAGGTCTGTGTACTCGGGATTTGGCATAAGGCTGGACGCACAAGGGAGAGACTGTGGCCGGCCCTCTCACCTCGCCCCATCTGGAGCTCATGATGCGGAAGTTGTCACTGAAGAGGTTCAGGAGCCTCAGGAACTCCGGGTCCCCGTAGCCATAGCGGTTCCCGAAGACAAGAACAGATAACATTGGATACAGCATTATCCAGTAGTCGCATGGGTCAAACGGGGCTCCTGGGGGTAGGAACAGGACGGTGGTCATAATGCGTGGTCCTGCCCCCAGCCAGCCCCATGGGCTTACTGGCTTCCTTCCACCCAAATACCTTCCCGTGGCCCCATCTTGGCAGTCCAAGGGCCACTCCCACACCAGGCCCTTCTGCCCTCCCAGCCAGGCCGCACCAATGGTGGCTTGCATTTCGTCTAGCAGACAAGCCGCCTCCTCCAGGACATGCGCCTGGATGGTCCGTGTACCTAACCCCAACTCCTTCAGCGCTCCAACTGCAAAATTGCGCAGTGTCCACCAGCGCGGCCCGTTAGAAAGGAAGATTCCTGTGGTGGGGACAGGAAAGGAGGCGGGCCCGGAGTCGGCCACGCCCCATCCAGGAAGCGCCAGGTCACTGGCTACATCCCTTTCGGGGCCTCCGACTCCTGCGGCCGACTTCCTGCGCTTTGCTTCTTTACCCGACCTCTAAGTGCCCTATCCACACATTGGCCCCGCGTTTGCTGGGCTCGATTGCTGACCTAGGCTGGCTCTCGGGCTTTGACTCTTAGGCTCTTCTCTCCTCTTGGCTGCAGGATGAACCTCGATTCGAACCTTACGCTTTAGCGCCGCCGCGCCCTCTCTCGGCCGTTTGCACCTCATTAGCTGGAGTCTCTATTAGGCCCCGCCCCCATTTGCCCGCCTCTACCGTTTACGGGCCCAGCCTGAGGCGTGCAGGCCGGCACGGCCAGCGCCCGGGCCTCACCGTGTCCGCGTGTGAAGCGTTCGAAGACTGCCATGGACCCGCGGCCGGAGAAGGCATCCGCCTGTAGCACTAACGCGTCCCGCAGCGCTGCGTAGCCGCACAGCACCACGGCAGGGCGCGGGCCCAGCTGCGCTGTGAACACCGGGCCCCAGCGGCCGGAGAGCTACAGGGAGCCGGTGCTCAGCTGGTGCCCATCAGGTTTCTCATCGGAGCCCTCGCCCCCAGCTCTCTCTTCCTTCAGACCCAGGAGTCCTCGTCTCGGGCCCTCATTCTTCAGGCCCAGGAGTTCAGATCCCCAGCTCCTTCCTCCCTGAGATCCAGGAGTCCAGGCCCCCACTTCCTTCTTCCCTTGGGACCTAGAAGTCCAACTTCCCAGCCTCCTGCACCCTCAGAGTCGGGCTCCTACGCCCTCAGTACTCAGCCTCCCCACCTTGAACCAGGAGAACAGACCCTCTGCTCCCCTCTTCCCACAACCTGATTTCCTGCTCTGGGCTCCTTCCTTACCACCCAGTGTCCCGACCCCAAGCTGTCCACTCCCTAGTCTCCTTTCCTAGAACTCAGGAGTCCTGAGCACTCATCCTTCCTGTCCTTCCTCAGGGTCTTAGAGTACAAGCCCTTAGCTGTCTTCATTCAGGAGGAGTTCTAGTCCCCAGCCCCACCTCCACGGATCCAAATTCCGTTCCCCCATTCCTGTAGGGAAGGAGCGCGTGGTCCGTGCCTCCGGACTGCAGCTGCAAGTTCCCTAGCAATAGGAATGGCCTGGGCCGGGGAGGTAGGGACCCTCGCATCTGAGCTCGGCACCCACCCTACCCCACCGTGCCCAGCGCCAGCGCCAGCACCAGAAGCCACAATAGCAGCGCTGCGATACCCGTGATCATCATGCCTGCAGTTCTCCACGCCTGGACCTCTATTTGATTTCCAAAAGGTCTTGGGTGGAGCAGGGGCGGAGGACCCGACGTGGGAGGAGTGGGCGTCTCTGGGCTGCTCATTCCGTGGATTCCCCAACCAGACGCCTCCACCCTGCCTCCAGCCCTAGTGGAACTGTGCCCTGGCTTCCCCCCGGCCCCAGCCCTAGTGGAACTGTGCCCTGGCTCCCCCTGGCTTTTTTTGTGTGTGCCTGCCTCAGCCTGCCCTACTTAGCAACTTTCGTGCACCAGCATTTTCATGTCAACACACCTGGCCAGCAGGTGCAGCCTCCTGAGCCCCTAGCACCTTTGAGTCCAATTTACTCGGCCTGCAGGTGTGTATTCCTCAATCTCCGGGCCACCTCTGGGCCCCCTGAATGCTGTACCCTGGACCTCTGATTCCTAAATACACACTGACTGTCAAATACACTTCTTCTTCTTCTGTTTTTTTTTTTTTTTTTTCTTAGAGTTTCACTCTTGTTGCCCAGGCTGGAGTGCAGCGGTGCGATCTTAACTCACTGCAACCTCCACCTCCCAGGTTCAAGATTCTCCTGCCTCAGCCTCCCGAGTACTTGGGATTACAGACATGCACCACCAGGCCCGGCTAATTTTTGTATTTTTAGTAGAGACGGAGTTTCACCATGTTGGCCAGGCAGATCTCAAACTCCTGACCTCAGGTGATCCGCCTGCCTCGGTCTCCTGAAGTGTCGGGATTACAAGCGTGAGCCACTGCGCCTGGCTCAAATACACTTCTAAAGCCACCCCTGACACTCCTGCGTTCTGTGCCTGTGATTCCTAGGAGCTCACACCTGAGCCCTTGTCACTTCCATTGTTCTTGGGACCCTGTGTGCTACGCTTGTTCCCCAAGAGGGGGCAGACTCAGGCCTGGATGGGCCAGGGCTGGGGTGGTGGGAGTGGTGAGGTTGGGGGTGTATTTGGAACAGACTGTTCAGGAATGTGGTCCACCCTCCTGCCTGCCCCTGCTTGGCCAAATCCAGCCTTCCTCTGAGTGCCTGGCACAGGGCCCAGACCTGGGGAGGTGGGAGGACTGTGCAGAGCCTGGGACTGGCATTGTCTCTGGGAGGGTCTCTCTTGTGTATCTCTGTTTCATCTCAGTCTCACTTGCTCTCCCCCTCCCCCCCTCCCCTCCCTTTCCCTTCCCTCTTTTCTTTCTCTCTCAGAGTCTGGCTTCTGTCCCCCAGGCTGGAGTCCATGATACAGTCATGGCTCACTGTAGCCTCTACCTCTTGGGATCAAACAAGCCTCCCAACCTCAGACTCCTGAGTAGCTGGGACCACAGGTGCACACCACCACGTCCGGCCAATTTTTGTATTTTTTTGAGGAGACAGATCTCATTGTGTTGCCCGGGCTGGTCTCCAACTCCTGAGCTCAAGCAATCTTTCTGCCTTGGTCTCCCAAAGTGCTGGGAGTATGGGCGTGAACCAGCGCACCCAGCCTCCCTCACTCTCAGTCTCTGTGTTTCTGTGTTCATCGCTCTCTCCTCTTTCTGTCTCTTCCCATCTCACTCTCTTTTCTCTCAGTCTCTCCCTCTGTTTGTGTCTGTTTTCTGTCTCTCTTTTCAGTATGTCTGTGTCTTCCTCTCTGTATCTCCCCCAGTCTGTGCTTCCCTTTATCTCATCCTGGCACTTCTGTGCCTCTCCTTATTTCTTCAGGGTGCCTTTCTGCGTGTTGACCCCCTTGTACCTCCATATTCTGCCCTGCCCTGTCCTGGGTCTTCCTACCTGTCAGCCTTTCTGGAACCTGGTGACTGACAGGGGTTGTGGGGCAGGGCCCCTGCTCAGAGCTGCTGACTCCACGGACAGTGGGGGTGTGGCGGGGCACGGTTAAGCCGCATCCTCCCCCAGCCCTACCCCACCCTCTGTGACAGGCTTTAATGGATCCTCTTTATCATGGCCTCTGGCTCTCTCCCCAGCTCCTGACTCTTCCTCTGTTTTGATCGGGTGGGCTGTCCTCCGCAACGTCAGCTCTTCTAGAGCAGGGATTTTGTCTGGTTCGCTTCTGTATCCCAGCGCTTAAAACAGTGCTCAGTACAGCAGTAGGTGCTTAGTACATATTTGTTGAAAGAATGTCCAATTTTTCTTCCTCCCTACTTCTGTTTTTTTTATAGAGACAGGGTCTTGTTAGGTTGGCCAGGTTGGTCTTCAACTCTCGGTCTCAAGCAATCCTCCTGCCGCAGCCTCCTAAAGTGCTAGGATCACAGGCGTGAGCCACCGTGCCCAGCCTCTTTCTTCCCTCCCTCCCCTCTTTTCCCTTTCTTCTTCTCTCCCCTTCCGTCTGTCTTGTTCTGTTACTCAGGCTGGAGTGCAGTGGCACCATCACAGCTCACTGCAGCCTCGACCGCCTGGGCTCAAGTGATCCTCCCACCTGAGCCTCCCAAATAGCTGGGACTAGAGGTGCGTGCCACCATGCCTACCTAATTTTTAAAATATTTGTGGAGACCAGGTCTCATTATGTTGCCCAGGCTGGTCTCAAACTCCTGGGCTCAAGTGATCCTCCTGCCTTGGCGTTTCTATCTCTTTGTAATTAGACTGGATTTCTTTCTCTTTCTCTTTCTTTTTCTCTCAGGTCTCTCTATCTCTCTTCATTTCTGTTCTCTTTATTTATCTTTGTCTTTCCTCTCTCTGGACATCGCTGTCTTCGCCTTTTCTCAGTGGCTCTCTTTCTCCTCCCGCTCTCTGTTTTCCAGGATCTCTCTGCCATCCCTGCGTTATCTGTCTCTTCCTCTTCCTCTCCATCTCTTTTCAGGGTCTCCACGTGTTTTTCTCCATCATCTCTCTCTGCCTGTCTTTCTCAGGACCTCTGAGTCTATTTCTCCCTCTCTTCTCCCACCTCTGTGTCCCTGGCTGGGCCCTGGGACCGACCCTGGTCAGCCTGTGATGGGAACAGCATTGGGATTAAAGAGCTGACATCTTAATCCCCACGTGGGGACCACCTACAAGCCTCACTCCAGCCAGCCCATGCTCAGCAGAGCGTGTCCCAGTTTCTGCATCGCCTTGGGGAGACCCCGTTCAGGGTAGGGCCTCCCAGGCCACCTCCACTGATGGCTGAGGGGCCAGTTCCACTCTGCCTGAATCTGGCTCGATGTGCTTTGGGACGCCTGCCCAGCGAGAACAGCCATTGCCAGCAGGATGTTAGGGTATTAGGTTGGGTCCCAGGTTGGGAGGGTACATGCCTGAGGTTGCTATCCACCCCAAAGGGGAGAATTTCAGTGAGAGGGTGGGAGGGCCGAGTGCAGTGGTTCACGCATGTAATCCCAGCACTTTGGGAGGCTGAGATGGGCAGATCACTTGAGGCCAGTAGTTCAAGACAAGCCTGGCCAACATG